TGTTTGAACTGTTGGGTCATCAACAATATGAATACAGACAGTGATTCACGCAGAGACGGTTGGTAGTGAGTCATCTACTGGTACACTGGTTACTGGTAACTGGTACTACTACTGAGACACACACACACACACACACACATCCACACACACAACATACACACAAACATACACACACACACACACACACACACACTCACATACATACACATACACACACACATACATACATACATACACACACAGTGGGGTGGAAGCTTATATGTATAAACAAAAAACTATGTGAATATGTTTGCGGATTATTAAAAAAAATGTAAGGTAAAAGTGAAAGAATAATAATAATAATAATAATAATAATAATAATAATAATAATAAATGACTATAGACTGAGTTGGATAACATGAGTGATTGATGGAGAGTTTAACTTAGTGTTGATAAATTCTATATAGTGTAAATAGGAGAAAGTGAAACCAAGGAACATTGATACTGATTAACAAATTATATTGGAAGTATCAGATGGAGGGATCTAAGAGTTAAATAAGCTGCCACCGAAGGATCAAGTAAATACAAGTGTTAGAAAGTTGTGCTGCGCTAAACTGGCAAACTATCAAATATTTGTCAAATATCTGTGTTAGGACAAAACTAGAATATGTAGCAGCTGTCTAGTGCCTACACATATCAAACAAATGTTTAGTGTTAACAACATTATTACCACCACAAAGTTATAAAACAAGATGATAAAGTACATAACGAAGACTTGCCACCGCCACTAACAGACACACCAGGTCACAATTTTGAATTGAAAAAAACAAGGCTGAAAAACACAAGATAAAGCTTTTTAATGTAGTAGACCAATGAAATTAAAGACGAAGTAGTAAGTGCGTCAACCATCGAAATTTATAAAAATATTTGATGAAAATATGACTGAAAATGAGACACCAGACGCGCAGCGCTGCTCCTCTACTTACTAACAATTACAAAAAAAAGTAAATCTATCTATCTCTCTCTCTCTCTCACACACACACACCACACACACACACACACACACACACACACACACACAGAAGTAAGACAGAAGAGAGAGAGAGAGAGAGGAGAGAGAGAGAGAGAGAGAGAGAGGAGAGAGAGAGAGAGAGACGAGACGAGACAGAGACAGAGACAGAGACAGAGAGAGAGAGACAGAGAGAGAGAGACAGAGAGAGAGAGACAGAGAGAGAGACAGAGAGAGAGAGAGAGAGAGAGAGAGAGGTGGGTTGATTGCATTTTCCTGGACTGCAGGAAGGCCTTCGACACAGTTCCACACAAGAGATTAGTGCAGAAGCTAGAGGATCAGGCGCGTATAACAAGAAGGGCACTGCAATGGATCAGAGAATACCTGACAGGGAGGCAACAACGAGTCATGGTACGTGATGAGGTATCACATTGGGCGCCTGTGACGAGCGGGGTTCCACAGAGGTCAGTTCTAGGACCAGTGCTATTTTTGGTATATGTGAATGACATGATGGAATGGACAGACTCAGAAGTGTCCCTGTTCGCAGATGATGTGAAGTTAATGAGGAAAATTAAATCAGATGAGGATCAGGTAGGACTACAAAGAGACCTGGACAGGCTGAACACGTGGCCCAGCAACTGGCTTCTCGAATTCAACCCCGCCAAATGCAAAGTCATGAAGATTGAGGAAGGGCAAAGAAGACCGCAGACATAGTATAGGCTAGGTGGCCAAAGACTGCAAACTTCACTCAAGGAGAAAGATCTTGGGGTGAGCATAACATCGAGCACGTCTCCAGAAGAACACATCAGCCAGATAACTGCTGCAGCATATGGGCGCCTGGCAAACCAGAGAATAGCGTTCCGACACCTTAGTAAGGAATCATTCAAGACACTGTACACTGTGTACGTTAGGCCCATTCTTGAGTATGCAGCACCAGTTTGAAACCCACACCTGGTCAAGCACATCAAGAAATTAGAGAAAGTGCAAAGGTTTGCAACAAGGTTAGTTCCGGAACTCAGGGGAATGTCCTACGAAGAAAGGTTGAGAGAAATCGGCCTGACGACACTGGAGGACAGAAGGATTAGGGGAGACATGATAACGACATACAAAATACTGCGTGGAATAAATAAGGTGGACAGAGGATGTTCCAAAGAGGGGATACAGAAAGAAGGGGTCACCGGTGGAAGCTGAAGACTCAGACGAGTCCAAGGGATGTTAGGAAGTATTTCTTCAGTCAGAGTTGTCAGGAAGTGGAATAGTCTAGCAAGTGGGGTAGTGAAGAGAGGAACCATACATAACTTTAAGATGAGGTATGATAAAGCTCATGGAGCAGGGAGAAAGGACCTAGTAGCGTTCACTGAAGAGGCGGGGCCAGGAGCCGAGTCTCCACCCCTGCAACCACAATTAGGTGAATTAGGCGAGTACACACATGCTCGGAACCATACACAAGTAGAGGCGCATACAGACATCACAGCCTTGGCAGCATTTGCGAGGTTAGCTAAACTAGGAACTGACTTTAGGTACCTTAGTAAAAAAATTTTTGGTGAAGTATAACACAGAGGTCAGGTGTACCAGAGAATACACAGCATGAAGCTCACATTTGGTCAAGCATGTTTGTCAACTAAATAAGATATGAAACAAGCTAGTTCCAGCGCTCAGACGATTGAGCTATGAGGAGTTTTTATATGGTCTAAGTAAATAGCTCAACCCGTGTGGTTCATTCTGTGCAAGGAATGGTGGAGGCTTGATCCCCCGACCGGTAATCTTCAGACTGCCTTGTTACCTAACTGTACTCTGTTGTCCCCAGCTGTTAGGAGACAACTGAACTGAACTAGACTAGAATAGAATATAAAAAGGCAAGAGTACGACATAAAAGATACTCAAGAGGATTTAAAAGTGAAAAGAGACAGACTGAAATACGAGTCAGTCTCACAGTGGTAAATACGTGTTGAGCTACATGAAATGGTGGGAGAAAACCCTATACACGTTTTCGAGCGTACTTATAATACGGTGTAAGAGGCCAGGAGGTCATAATGACGGCGAGTGTAGTAAAGTACAGGAGCAGGAGCCGAGACTCCACAACTCTCACTACGCACATCGAAAAAAGATTCTTTGAAGAACAAATAGTACACGTTTTTTTTTGTGATGGAAAACTCTGTTTACGATATTTTTGGAGTTTTAGGACAGACAATACAAAATAAAATTAATGGACCGAGTCTTCCAGGACTGTGAGAAAAAAATTTGTTAGAGTACCAAAATCAAATCAAAACCAAAGTCAAAACTTTAATTTCCTTGCAAAGCTTACAATGTGAGTTATAATATAAAATAATAAGTACAAGAGGCCAACTCAGGCCTACATTACGAAGATTAATACAATTCTTCTGTATATTGATATAGTTATGGAGCAGTTATTTAACTACATTTTAGATACATAACTAATTAATACATACTATTTGAGTTAGGAAACTTAAGATTAAGAGCAATACTATACAGAATTATGACTGTTTACAGTCATGGTGAGAGTAAGTGTAAATTATGGAAAATTATAGATAACAAGAGTCAACTATATTGTTTGGATGTTCTGACACAAAAAGAGAATTAGTGTTTCTCTTTAGTTAGCTGAATGTGGAGTTGTATAGGACATAAAAGTTTTTTAACGTATTATTAAAGAAGGTCGAGTCAGCGTTCTAGAGTTTTCTGGCAGGGATTTCCAGATTTTAGCCCTTTATGATAATGGAATTTTGTAGCATTTATTCGACATCGGATATTCAGAGATTTTTGTGTCTGGTATTGTTCTCTGATCCTGCATTCAACTATCAGGAAAGTGTTTTAGTTCAGGTTATTTAGAAGTATGGTTCTGTAAATAGTGCACAATAGTAGGTGCTATTTACTCGATTAAGTCTAACAAGATGTAAAGCTAACAAATATGAAAGCTACGAATGTAAAGCATAACGAGATGTAAAGCAACAGATGTAGCTTAACTGAGATGTAAAGCTAACGAGATGTAAACTAACAGATGTAAGCTAACGGAGATGTTAAGCACGAGTGTAAAGCTAACGAGATGTAAAGCTAACGAGTGTAAAGCTTAGGGAGATGTAAAGCTAACAAGTATGTAAACTAACAGGATGTAAAGCTAACGCAGATGTAAGCTAACGAGATTTAAGCTACGGCATGTAAAGCTAACGAGATTTAAAGCTAACGAGATGTAAAGCTAACGAGATGTAAAGCTAACGAGATGTAAAGCTAACGAGATGTAAAGCTAACGAGATTAATGTGCTAACGGATTGTAAAGCTACGAGATGTAAAGCTAACGAGATGTAAAGCTAACGAGATGTA